TATTTGGTGATAGCTTTGTTATTACTTGATATAACAAAATTATACAAATGGTTCTTTTTGCTTTTAGGACAAACAAGGCTTTCTTCTGTTGATATTGTCTTAAAAGCTACGAGTGTGTTGATCAAGGAATGCGCGCTGTTTCTTTTGCATTCTGACAGCGGATGGCGGCCGCAGTCAGAATACCTGAACAAAGTGGGCAGCTCATTGGCTGCCTGCTCTGTTCGTAGGAAGATTTTCTGACCAGATCCTTTGATCAGCTGATCGAGGGATGCCAAGCAAAAGCTTGTTGACAGCAGCACCCACCGTACGAATGCTGCACAGTGTATGGCCACATTTAGCATCTGGAGAAATTTTGTAATTTTTTTTACACGTCAAAATCAGTTTTTTGAAAAAAAACATTTTAAACCCCCAGATAATTAGATATTTACTGTAAGCCGAGACCCTGTAGAATAAAATGGTGGCAGTTGCAATATTTTATGTCGCACAATATTTGTGCAATTCATCAAATCTACGGTATATTTTCAGTAAAAAAATACACTAAATAAAATTTTGGTGCACACAAATATAATTTCCCACATGCAGTTGCATCAAATATATACACGTTAATCTGTGTGTGTAATGGCAAAATGCTACGACAAAATTGTCCATAGATGACTTTTTAAAAGCCTTTGCAGGTCATTAGTTTAGAGTGAACAGCGAATGGTGGCTCAAGAATTATTGCTCTCACTCTGATGTTTCATTGCAATACCTATGGTGATGTCATGACAATAACGTGGTGGGTCTACATACACGTGCAGCCCCGTATGAGTGTGTTTTTTGTGTGCAAAGGTGGTTTAAATTGTTTTTTTAACCTCTTGCCGTCCGCCCGTAGTAAAAAAACGAACGGACGGCACTGATTTTTGACCGTTTTTTTTTTTTTAACTTAAACTTATTGCTATCACATAAGGGTGGCTATATATGATAACATATGGCCAGGTGACAGGTTCTCTTTATGCAGACATTAGGGGTCTATTAGAACCCTAATGGCTCCCCCGCCCTCCACTGTTGTGCTTAATCAGCTATTCAGCTGGTAGTCTGAAAGCTCTGAAGCAGGATGCTCTAAGAGCAGAGTGCTTCCTGCTTCAGTGATCACAGAGCAGATCACAGAATGGATGTTCTTTGTGTGGTTGTTGGCAAGTGAATCCACATTCTGGCTTCAGAATATATGGTTAAATATTTCAAATTCTATTCCTACTGCAAGGGTGCTGCAGGGCAAATGGTGTTGCACACCCTGATATGTTTCATTTGCAATACATAACCTATCTTGGATAATTTGATTGTGTGAAAGTGAAACCTATGTTGTAGCTTTGCTAGAGAAAGTGAAAACGACCTTTTCAATTAACTATGCAAGTGATGTAAAATGCCAGTTGGTGATTTAACCTAATAATGTCCAAACTGAAATATATGTTTTGGCTGGTGTTTGCATTTAGAGATTGGACAGTGTTTTCAACACATTACAGCTTTAATTTCACTCACCCCAGGGTAAGAAAAGAGGAAGGGAAATGATTGGTCAGACTGAAAGATAATCACCAGCTATAGTGAAGAGGAACGGATGGCTTGATACAACATGTAAAAGTATAAGCAAGGACGGCAATGGTAACAAGAAAATAGAGGAATTAATCTAAAGGAAATGGAAGGTTTACATCAATAGAGAAGGATATGAAAACGCAAAGATAACTGTATAGCTGAAGAGAGATGATGGAAATAATTTGCTGACTCTTGGTATTTTAAGTGAGGATGAGAGAATGTATTATGCTTTACAGAATAAATAAATCTAGTGGGTTCTGCTAATTTGTTTTAAAGAAGAAAAAAAAGTTATATTTTAATTGAGGTTGTCCAGTGAGTCAGGATGCACAGGTTATGGTGAAGCATGTCATGACTCCAAACCAGGATCATTATATTGGCGCTTGCCTTTAACAGCATGATTTTTGTTTTCTTTGACTAGAGGAAACCCTTTAAGCTCTCTTTTAGACTGTGTTGAAATTGGTATTTAGATGGATTTGTGCTTAGCAGTTTAAGATTCAACTACAATAAAAACATCATGGAAAAGCCACTCAGATTTTTCATGTGGCTCTTGGGTTCATACTGTATATACTATAAATGATCAAGTTAGAGCAGGCAGCACCAAGTCTCCCAATGTACAAACTGTGATTGCTATTCCCTTATTTTGTTTCCTTTTAAATATTTGTGTGGCTAAATTTAGAAAAGAGAATTGTAAAGGACAACATTATTAAACTAATCACATGACATAAGGAGCTTGCAGAAAAGGGTGTCATAATACAGGTGTTCCTGTAGCTTAATGGACAGCATAATGCCTAAAAAATGACCTAGTAACCCTCTCTCTATATGAGTGGGTAAGATGCATTAACGTTGTATGGTAACAGCATCAAGCCTTTTACTGTATGTTGGTACAGGTTGGTTTCTCATATATAATATGTAATTCATACCAGTGGTTTTACTTTGTAAATTTTACTTATTATACAACTTGTACAGATTTAATTGACTTTAAAATGCCAGCCGTGTCCACCTAATTGGCAGGCAAAGGAAACTTCTGATCTCAGTCCACCTCTTTCCCAATTTACATCTTCTGTTATTTGAATTGATTGAAATGGTAATTTCATGGTAAACCTGCAGTATATTAATAGATTCTGTTTCCTTTCTGTGCTCTCGGATTTGCCTGTAACTACCATGCAGTGTAGTATTTGATATGCTTTAGCCCAGCAGAGCAATTTTTAGATCCATCATATATTAGCCTGTTCTCTAGCACTAATGGAAATCTCCAGAGAAATGTTTGAGAAATGCTTTATAACCCGTTCATGTTGGTAATTGTGTTCTAAACATTACTCTGCTGCACACACTGGGAAATGTGATTTTGTTTACAGCAAAAAGTTAACACTGAGTAGTTGTGGTTATTTTGCACCATGTGTAGAATTTGCAGGTGAAATGCAAATGATCTACAGAATATGATCTATTTGTACTGACGATGATGTTTCCGGATTTAGCAGTAATGGTGGGAAGAGGAGTTTACTCACCTGCTGGTTTCTAAAATCTCCCTTCATCTGCAGTGAAAAGGTTTCCATTCAGTTGTTGTCCAGCTTCTCCCACAAACTTGGTAAAGCCCCAAATTATTTTTATATAGTGCACTATGGTTTGTTCATTAGGGTAATATGGATTTTTGGATTGTAATAGCTTTGGCAGTTGGGTAGAACTGTGAATTCAGGAATTCTTGGCACTTGAGTTCTTGAGAGAAATAAAAAGCCATCATGTGAGTCAGCTTACTGGTATTCACACATTTGGTTTAGGCTGAGGTGGCCTTTAAACTTGTTCAGGTATTGTTTATTTATTTGTGTTTATGTTCTATTACTGAATCGTAATCGTGTATCTTGTTTTTTCCACAATTAAAGTTTTTGGGGAACATTTGCATGCCATTGCAGAAAGATTTCCATGCAGTTTTGTGACTCAACAAGGCTACATAAAGTAACTCGGAGCTTAGGAAGTATTGTTACACAGGCCATGATTAGGGAGGCAGGCTATAGGTGTGAAACTGCAAAAAGACACTTAAATCATTCTCAGTGATTGAACTCTGCATCCAATCAGATTGTTCAGGTATTTTGACATCCAGTGGGGCTGACTAGCAAGATACTGAAGCTTGGCCCAGTGGGAGATTCTTCCATCCACACAGTCTTGCAGCAGGCCAGCATGCTGACTGCAGGTCTTATGAACTAAAACAGATTGCAGGATGTGTTTGTTTTTTACAGGGGAAGAATACATGCTTCTGACCTGTCTTTCTCTCCACTACCTGCCCATGAGATTAGACTGATCTGCTGCTAAGATGAACTATTGAATAGGAGCTGTACCTGCAAAGAAGCTAGTAAATACTTTTTTACATTTCATGGCCCCAATACCATTGATCTCCACTCTATTGAAGATAAACCTTCCCTCTTTTCAAGTCTGTTCAGAAACCAACAATTCTGGGAGTGCCGATTTCCTGTGTTCCCTGCTTAGCTCCGATTCTCCTGCAGCCCTGCACATCAGTACGGTGTTCTTCTTCTTTTCACTGGTTCATCATAGCACCAGATTTTAAGGGTCCTTTCACACTATTGTGCTGCATTAACATACAGCAATGCACCTCAATGCGCTTTACCAACGGACAGCACTGGCCACAACTGTCACTCCCACAAACTTCAATGGGATCGTATACAGGTACTGGAAATCCTTGGTCTATGGCCCATTCAAGTCTACAGGGACAGTTTGTGACACCAATACAAGTAAAGGGGGAAGCAGTTGTCACCAACACAGTAAGGCACAAATAGCAATAATAATGTTATCAGAAGTTCTAAGCTTTCACCCAGTAAACTATTTGGAGAAATCTCAGTCACTATCTGTTCTAACAGTATTTACAGGGAGTCTTCCCTACAGACCTACAGACAGCTTTAACCTCTTTCCGTCCGCCCGTAGTAAAAAAACGGACGGACGGCACTGCTACATCTGCGGGTTGCCGTCTCCAGACTTCAATTTTTTAGACAGTGGCGGTAACCTTTCCCTACTCTATGCAAAGCAAAATTAAATGTTTTGGCTGGAGTTCGACATTAAATCCCATTTGAACTACAAAATCCCAACCGTTTTTTTTTCTCCATGTCTGTCAACAAAAATGCCTTGTTCATAGGGTATATCAATTTATTCTGAGGCAAAGATCAGTTCGACACTATACTTCCTTTTGTTTTTTTTTTATTTTGTGTAGCAGACAGTTTACATTGTGACAGATACAATGTATAAAAGAAAGATGTAATTGTGTCAAGACTAAGATTTCTTTCTTTTAAGGGCAACTCCGTGTTCTCTGTAAAGTGTTGGCCCTCTGCCATTCATCATAATGGCACTTGTGACAAAATGTCTAGTCTTATGTGTTGTGGAATAGATTTTGAATACATTATTTAAACATAAAATTGTATATTTTTTTGCAGGTATTCTTCCTTGGGTAAAGCTCATAGATAACTTTGATGCAGAATATGATTATATCACAAATGAAGCGACTATCTTCACATTTAAGACCAATCGTAATGCCCCAAAATACAAGCTAATTAACATAGACTTCAGTGACCCTGTGGAATCCAGCTGGAAAGAACTTGTTCCAGAGCATGAGAAGGATGTATTGGGTAAGTGAAAAATAAGCTTTGAACAACTATATAACATTTTTTGTATAAAACAAAAAAATCTCTTGGAGATTGGTTTGTATATAATTTGTAGCATACTGCAATTTTTAGGCTGCATTCATCAATAGGGACATGAGCTGTTTGTGTCTCCAATAGTAACCATGCTACAAAATGGCTAATGAATACTTTATATAAAGGTATGGTGCTGAGAATGAGCTGAAATAATGCATAGTATATACATATAATTTTAAGAAAGCAAAATGTTATTGTCAATATAATGACATGACAATATACCCTACATTTACCATAGCCCCCATCCATAAATGCTAATGTGATGCTAACATAACTTTGCTTCTCTTTAACTTTTTGCCATTAGTGTCAATAGTTGTTTAGAAAGCAAAACCAATAAGAAGTAAGCACATTATGCCAGTTTTTTCTGTCCTTGTTTTCAATAGAATTTCTCTCCAGTTGACTTTCTCATTCATATTTTGTAGTGAGTCATTGCTGGTTGTTGGGAGGCTTACAAATATTTAAAGTGACATATTTGATCCTGGACCCATCCATTCTAGCCCCTCTACTAGCCACTGAAGCCTCTCAATACATTAGAAGACCATTAGGAAAGCTCTGTATGATGGGGACAAATATGTATTTAACAGGAAAAAGTAATGCTTTACATTTAAGTTTAGCTACCTGTATCTCTGCTTCTACTGTGTTTTGGCATTGCGTTTTGGGAAAAAAAAGAAGAAATCTCTGGATGTGACAATTTTTTGTTGCATGCTCATTATAAATCCCCCAGATTTGTGACAGAATTACTTTAACGGAAGTTAAACCAGACCAGGCAGTATAATTTAATTACACTTCATTTGAACTTGGGTTGTGTTTTAGGGTATTAGGTACAAGTGGTTTCAAAAGTAGTTTGGGGGTAGAGCTGTGGTTTTCAGCAATGGATTGGATGCAGTTCTACAAAAGACCCATGGAGTTGTGAAACATACTATACGTTGATATACAACAGAAGACTTCCATTAGAAAACATTAAAAGCTTCCCAAGATACTCCAGTTAGTAAAAGCAGATTCTGATTAATTGCTCCTTTTATTTTATTTTATTGCATTTTGATGTAGTCCCACAGACCGCTCTCCTATGTGATGCTAGCACAGCGAATATAAATGCCCAAAAGTGTACAGTGTTTCATTTCTTTAGTCTAAGCCTTTTAGCCTAAACTGCCCTGAATACATTGCAAGAAACATTTTTAGAGAAGAAATTTCTAAAGTGTATTTGAATTAGAATTATGTTTATAAGGAATATGATACACACGCTGTTGCAATGTCACAAATACCTAGTGTATCAGTCAAATAATTCTTACTGTTTTAAATTCCTTCCAGCATTAATATATACAGCAGCATCTTGTTATGCTGTGTTTTTGGACATGTTCAAATAACTGCTGCTGGGAGTGCAAATGGAAATGTGTATGCGAACATGGCCTAGTGGACATCTCTCTCATTAACTGCTGTGAAGCATGGGGGAGCCACTAGTTTGATTGTTGATACTGTCCGCATACAAGATTTGCAAGCTGTTTTTATTAATATAGAAAACTTTGCATGTAATACTGCAATTTGACGCTACACTCCTGACAGTATTTCCCACAGCAACAGGGAAATCATGTCACATGTCATTAAGACTTCTTAAGTGGCTGGAAAATACATTCTCCGTTTACAAATTATACCTAGTCTCCAGCCTGCCCCAGTGTCAAGCTTTCAATGGGCCTCACTGGTATACATGGGCCATTCCCATTGTTGAAGCGGCATTGTCATGTCTTAATAAATCATTGACAATACCTGTAGAGAATGGGCAGGTGTTAAGGATCCCATAGATAAACATTTGGAGATCTTATTTCCCAAATTAGTCTCCTCTCACTGAACATTTTTTATTTTTTGAAATGCTGATCTGCATAGCAGGCATCTAAAAAAAAAAAAAAAAAGTCTTCTGTGCATGCCCTTTTAAAGGTCAACGTTTCTTCAGAGTTGCCTTGGGTACCCTATTTAAGGATGTTAACTGAGGATAAGAGTACTCCTCTACCTTGGTAAAAGAAATTCAGGCCTCATGCTGAAAAGACTCATAACCTGTCAGGCACAAGGAAAATGGGTTTGTCGAGAGACTGGACCAATTTGTCCCATGATAAGACCAGATTTTCTTTGGCCCGGTGGCTCTCAAATTCAGCTCTGCACTTGTGGAAATCCTTCCTTCCAATCTTTTGGAGTATCCTTATAATTGGTGCCTGTCTGACAGGCTGAGGAGGACTCTTAAATACCGTGTCATTGCAGCGGACTTGAAGGCTGGAGGAATCCCATGTTCTGATCAACAGTTTAGAGCACTGGACTATTTAGTTGTCGCTACAATGCTTGGCATCCTGAATAGTGGTTCATCCACCACAACAGTGGCAAACATCAAAGAGAAACCAGAGTTCTTGCTGCGGCAAAAGAGGTATAGAGGATTCTGTCCTGGAGTTTTGCATCCTAGCCTTGTCTGCAGTTTACATTTCAAGACGTGGACAATTGGCAGGCGGATTTTCTCGGCCAGTGACACCTGGATTTTCTCGGCCAGTGGCCCCTGGAGGGAATGTACCCTATAAAGGTGTGTGTGGCGGGGGAGAGGGTTTACAGCATCTGTGCCACAGGTGGTAGACACTGGATGTTGACCTCCTGCCTCCAGGATTAACAAAAAAAAATAGACGGGTTTGTCTGCTAGTGCAGAGAGCCTCTGGCAAAAGCAGTGTATTCTCTGATGGCTCTGTCAATCAGTACAGCCTGAACTATGCTTTTACTTCTCTGAAACCTCAGACTTCTGACAGATACTCCATGGGATCTTCTGTCCCAAGGACCAGTTTACCACCCTGCTTCACGGTTGCGGGCTTTAACTTTGACTATTGAAAAACAGGTCTTCAAAGATAGAATCCTGTCTGAATCAGTGATTCCTATGATGCTAAAAGCTAGGAAGTCCCACTTGCGAGAATGTCTATCATTGCAAATGGAAGATTTAATTTACTTGGTGCAAGGAAAGAAACTCTCTTCCCAAAAATATTTCTATTGTATCCTGAACTTTATACAGTTAGGTCTGGACCAGCAATTAGCCCTGAGTACCATCAGTAGTAAGATCTCTGCGCTTGTGATCTTGTTCGAGACTGCTGTCCCACTCCAGTACAACAGTAGGCGATTTCCCTATGTGGATGTTGTGTGGATGTTGTTCATGCTGTACAAGTATACCTCACAGCCACTGCTTTTTTTTTTTTCTTTGTCATCCCAGATGGTCCCTGCAAAGGGGGACTAGCTTTTTACTCCACCATTTCTAGGTGGCTCAGACTTGAGATTGAAAAAAAATCTTTTAGTATATAGCACCCAATTGTTGGAGATTAAGAATTTATATCCATATCAGTCCAAAGATCATAAATATGTGGAAAAAAAGGAGGACCAAAAAACCTATCTTAAACCCCAGAACTAATGTGTATTACCTTGCTACTTACTAGTCCTTACATGTGGTGGCAGCATTAGTTTTGTTTTTCAGATTTTCTTCTCTTTATTTTCATTCCGTGATCCTGACTCCAAAAACTACTCCATAGCGGCCATGGTTTCCATACGCTGCGCAGATGATGACCAAAAAGCCTAAAACAGCCGTATGCAATTTGGAATACGTGGCCTTTAATGTTAAGCTATATGTGCACTATACACCAGCGGTTCTGGATGTGCATCAGGCTGATGGGGCATAAAGCTATTTTTTTTTGCATGACTCCACCCAGTGTTCTGAAACGAGGAATAATCCTCTTATTTTTTTGGATATGTTATGGAATGAGACATGTGAATATCTTCTGTTTTAATAAGACTTTACTGTGCTACTCGATTCAGTTGGAGGACTTTTTGATTGCTTTAGTGCCTTCTCACCATATCCTGTATGCTTATACTGTCTAATCAGGAAAATATAAATACTTTGGGGTAAGGGTGTAATGTTAAAGGCTATGTGGTTGAAATCTATAGTGTTTTTCCCTAATTTTCTGCTGTTTATTGCAGAATGCAACAATATCACCTCATTACCAGATTCACTTCAAGGTTAATCAAGGGACTAATCATTTGTATTCTCTTGATGGTGAATCAGCCTTTCCAAGGCAATCAGAGTGGTTGGGGTTAATTAAGTCAGCAGAGACTTTGTCTAAATTTAGTATTTTATGGAAATCAAGTTCAGAAGGAAAAACTACATGAACTTTGCAGATCTTTATATTGCACACCATCATTGTTCATTTATTGAATAGAACTTGCACAGGGAACACTTGTTACACAACAAATAAATGGATATATAAATGAACCATTCACAACATGGTCTTTTCCTATAGTATGCTCTGCTTCCTCTAGACTAGCCTTTCTCAATCTTTTTAACAATCTCGGGGGACCCATGCTATCATTATTTTATCTACAGCTCAGGAGACATTAGCAAGAACAGTAAGTTGTGGACAAGAATTTAAAAAAAAAAGGAAATCTGGTGTACTTTGCATATTTGACACCCAAGGCTTCACTATATGACAATATTATTTTCAGTAATAACAATGGAATGAAACCATAATAATGGTCAGAAAAGAAAGCCAACAGTAAAAGTAGTAGTAGCAGCACTACTACCTACTACCATATTCAGCGAGTTCTGTGGAACAGTTCCCCATTACACCTAATTTTTCCAGAAATGATACTGTGTAAAGGATTGTTTTATTCCTACTTCCTTAGAATTAGGGAAAACATGACAAGCAATTGATGATCGAGTGATTATTTTACCCTAGTAAACTAATTTTAAAATGAGTAAAGCAACATTTATAAAAATAAAGTATTTATTGTATATGTTAATGGTGGTGGATATACGCACATTGTGGGTTGTGCTTTGTTTGGAAGCACAGCACAATGATTGCACCGGACCGTGTGAACCAGCGACCAACATGTTTGGAGCTGCAACAGTCTGACGTTGACAACGCCCC